ATGGCTCGGCATCGGAGAGGTGACGTTGAGCTTGATGGCTCAGTAGATGGGAGAAGTGACGACCTTATGTGACCTGAATGGCTCATCTCATGGCTCTGGCTCCGATACTTCGATCTCCACCTGAATCGAGGTTTCCGACACTTTTGACAGCTCAAGGTAGCACTGACTATGCAACTCAATGCACTGGACGAAAAAGCTGCGAAAACGATAACGTGAGGCTGAGAAATCTCTTCAAGATGTGTGGCAGTCGATTCTCTTTACAATCGGCAGAAAATGCGCAATTTTCGAGAGCAGCTCTGTGGTACGTGAAGTCGAAGAACGGATACCCCTCTGACGCAAACCACTTCTCTGAACTCCGAAGCATTGGGCAACAGGAGTCGGATTCTCCAACATCTTCTTGGATGGTTTTGCGGCTGGTCTAGAAATGAGAAATGGCTGTTCTCTTTATCATATGTATGTATGCCACCACCTCTCACCACCATCAGAACGTCGCCTAGGGTCGCCGCGGTCGATCTTCCTTTTCGTCCTTGTCACTCCCACCTCATGGCCGCCTTGATCGTTTGCAACATAGGCTCTCCGATATACCCTTCTTCTTGTCCTTCGGCGTTTGTCCCGCTTGGTAGAGGTAGGGGCTCTTCCTGGTGTGACGACGCCATTTCTCCTATCAAATGCCTGGCTGGGGTGCATACCTTGACTACTTTCAAATCTGTATGCAGTGTATCGAGTCAACGCTGCTTGGGACGTCATTTGGCCGCTTTCCGGGTTCCCTCAAGCTGGAAGCTAGTCTTACAGACGCTGTCAGCCTTTGCGCAAAATACATGGCCATTCCATCGAAGGCGCGTTTCTTTTTTTCAACAGGCAAATTTCGTTCCAAAGTATGAATGTTTGCGTAGCAAGGGGCGGCTTGATATCATCTGATAGGAAACTTCACGTAGTTTTAGAATATCAAAACGGCTTTGGTTGAGGGAATAATTTTTGTGGATTTTTTAGTCGTTGAAGTTGAAAGCGAAGTCGGCGAAAATTAGCACCTTCGACAACTGCCTCTATTTACGTATAGTCGAAGTGCTAAAATCGCTTAAGCTGCTCCATACATTTGGAAAAGGTCGAGCTAGAAGTTCCAGCAAGGGAATCTCACTAGGACGCTTTGGAACGAATTTCAAGAATTTTGAAGTTACCAACCTTCACCTCGCCGATATTGGGCAGCTCACGTCTGTTCCACCTGAAATTTTATGCTAATATTTGAATGTTTCGCTGATATTTTTTGCATGTTCTGATAGCAAATTTCGTGCTCTATAACACTGCTATAAAAATCTGCTCTCCAGAGGTGTTTGCTTTCTGTTAAATTCAGGTTATCATTACGGAACGCGAAGTCGTTGAGAACGAGGGTTCCTTCTCCACGAATTTTATCTAACAGAGGTCGCTAATATGTTCTATACATTCTGATAGCCAATTTCAAGCTCTTTAACATGACATAAAAATCAGTTCTCCGGAGCTGTTTACTTTCTGTCAAATTCAGGTTGTCTTTACGGATCGTGAGGTCGATGAGAATTCGAGTTCCCGACTTCCTCTCTCAACCGCTGTCCACTGAAGCTTCAAAGCTCCTAAGAGCAGCTCAATAGAATCGTCATGGTTTGAGTAAGGCTAGAGTAACAGATTAGTGTTAGGACAGCTCTTAGCGAATTTCCGAGGCACATTTCAGCAGCTCTGATACCTCTGTTGAATGCGAAAAGGAGGAGATGTCTGAAGTGCTGATGCTTATCGACCTGACATTCCATATTATCCACCTGAAAAACAAGGTTCATCAAACGGATTTTCAAAATAACTGCAATCAGTGTTATAGAGCACGAAATTGGCTATCAGAACATATAGAACACATTAGCGAAACATTCAAATGTTAGCATAAAATTCGTGGAGAACGGGAACGCTAGTTCTCAACGACTTCGCGTTCCGTAATGATAACCTGAATTTAACAGAAGGGAAACACCTCTGGAGAGCAGATTTCTATAGCATGTTATAGAGCACGAAATGTTCTATCAGAACATGTAAAACATATCAGTGAAACATTCAAATATTAGCATAAAATTTCAGGTGGAACAGACGTGAGCTGCCCAATATCGGCGAGGTGAAGGTTGGTAACTTCAAAATTCTTGAAATTCGTTCCAAAGCGTCCTAGTGAGATTCCCTTGCTGGGTTTGTTGTTTGTTAAAACTTGTGTACTACTGAATTACGCTCGACCTTTTCCAAATGTATGGAGCAGCTTAAGCGATTTTAGCACTTCGACTATACGTAAATAGAGGCAGTTGTCGAAGGTGCTAATTTTCGCCGACTTCGCTTTCACAACTTCAACGACTAAAAAAGCAACAAAAAATAATTATTCCGCTCAAACCCATAGAGCGTTGATATTCTAAAACTACGTGAAGTTTCCTATCAGATGATATCAAGCTTGCTAGCAAAACATTTCATCTTTGGAACGAAATTTCCGGTTGAAAAAAAACGAAAGTACTTATGTGCCAACCCAATATTACAATTAATGGCCAATCATCGAAGGCTGGCGGTTTTTCTCGCGCATTCTGTTAGCCATAGGAGCTATCTGCTTCTTGCGTATTCACGTCTCATTACAAATCCGGTCAACAAAACGCGTGATGCTGCGCGCGGGTGAGGCGACACGTTCTGCACGAATGTCGCGACTTAAGGGCATGTGCACAACAGTTTGATGCTCGTCTAAAATGTCTTAGCAGGGTTCTATGTCAGTGCAACCATGAACTGCGAAGAGAAAGCCGTCGATTCATTCAATTGCTTAGAAAGTAATTTTGAACGAAGTTTCCTGTAGGCTTCGTACCAATAAACGCTACGGTAGATAGGGCTGCATGTGTGTACTCGCATATCCATGCAGCACCACAGCCGCTTCATATCAATCCCTTCGCTTCATATTTTACTTCGCAAATGAAGCAATACGAGCATCAGGTACGGTCGTCCATTTGTGGGTGGGCGGGCGCGATGGGCGTCCGAGTCGTTATGTTGCAGCTTGATAAAGCCTTATAAGGGTGCCTTCCTGAAAAAGGCACTGCTCAGGGGCGCGGAATTCCGTCCTGCCAGGCGTATTAACCCAACTCGTTCTGGAGATTTATCGTGTCAACTTCCTCTAAGTCCCGTCTGGCTACTTTTGTTTTGGGCATTGAAGCTGCATCTACAAGAACAAATTCATTGATTAGAAGAGCCGCAAAAAAGCTTTCACGCTGCTGCTCCTCAAAGATTGTCGCGGCTGTTAGAGTGATTCATCTGGTGTGCTACTCTGAACAGTTGGGAAGTCCTAGAATAGGCTGCAGTTCTCACTAGATTTTTTTTCGTGTTGCTAGAGCCACTTTCTCACGTAGTTTATAGGTAAGATATAGTAAAGATTCTTGACAAAGAGGACGATAACGAATCACGCAGATCCCATCAAGGCGGCTTGTAGATGTTGCGTCGATTTGCAAAATTTTTCACAGGATGTTCCACCTAGGAGGGAGGGGGGTTTGTCATAAAAGCGCGCCACTGGGTGTATGGCATCAATCAGTCTTGGGTACGATACAGCTTAGATACATTGAGCTTCCCTACGCGACTTTTTCACTACATCCACTGCTTCAATTCAGTGGGGTTCAAGAATTGACATGCGAAGATTTATTCAGCAGCCGCAGACAAGACTTTAACAACTCAGAGGTATCTGCTCTTAACCCTGTAGGGCAACATGCACAGAAGATCTTCACATTCGATTTTTTCCGGTTCAGGGAGCTTAATAAATTCACACACAGTGTTATTCCATGCACAACCGCAATAGTTTGGTTCCAGCTTCCTATTTCGTACAGCTGCACGTTTAGGGGAACTCTGAAATGGGATATGTAACTGATCGACAACTATCTTAGAAAAAGCGTATGTTCCTCACCTGGTGTTGTAGATGCAGAGAACTGAAGCTTTGGTTGAGCCACACTGTTCGTAGTGACAACCGACTTCGTAAATCATCTGGTAAGCCATCTGAAAAATCGTCCTTATGAATCACCCTCGTAGAAGGAACTATTCTGAATGTGTAGCTTCACATTGGCGAAAGAGTACATTCTCGTGTCATTAAAGGTAGCGTTAGGTCCCATAGGAAGGCGATCCGATTCGTAAAGCCACGCGTCTACTGCATCGCTTAGGAAATTGTACTTTCCTTGTTTAGTGCCTGTTACATTGCCGCTGAAAACAATGGCAGCATCCGTACGACTTGCGACACTTGGGATACTTCACTTACTGGAAAAGATTCATTCCATTTTCTGGTGCGCCTGATACGTTCTTGGGACAATCTTTGGTCAAGGCTCTCGCCTCTTTTTCTAAGGTGCAGTTCCATCTCTGAAAGTCAGGATAATAAATGAGGAAAAACTGCTGTGAAAATCATCAATTTAACTGTAGTGTATTGTGACCTAACCCTTGCGGGTGAGACAAATTAGAAGTTCCCCGCCATTAATCTGAAATCGGAAATTCTACAAATCTTTGCATTATAGGCAGTCTTGTAGGGTTTTGTTGGAGGTCCAGTCCGACAAGACTGCATCTAAATGGCTGTTCAATTTGCAGCTTGGGTGCTAGTGGGAGCCTTTGGAAACCACTCTCAAAGACCTCAGAGACGTGAGCTTCACATGATAGTCATAGACTTACCCCCTCTACATCGTACGCAGGACTGTGAATGGTCTCTCTCATACTTAATTTCAATTTCTCGGAATTTCACTGTGAAGCCGATTCAATCAAATTTGTAAACGTAAGCGGTTCACCTTCCTAATAACTGATAACTTTCGAACTGACCATCTTGAATAAGTTTTTGGCGGGTGGGTGGAAGCCGTCCTTGGATGGCGACTCGCCCAGAGCAAGTGTGAATCGAGTTCCGTCATGATACTGTAAAGCTTGTGCGAGTCGTGTCGTCCATGTACTCGCCATGGTCTTCGCCGCATGACTCTGGAAGAATAGAAGGCATTTCCTTCTGCACACGATAGCATCTCCTAAAATGCTTCCCGTATGTCTACTGAAAAAAGTGAGTAATGTAAAAGTGTCTCTCAGCGGACATATGAACAGTTAACGTGTGCTCAAAAATTGGCTGTGAATAATGAGTGCGGGACTAGTCGACTTCTGACCCGACATGCTCGCAACGAGCGAATGAAGCGTTTATAGACCCCTATGAACCTGCGACCGAGGCGATTCGCCGCGAAACAGAGGGAACCAATGAGGATCGGTTATACTACGTTTATACTTTGCGACGCCGGAGAATATTCCACTATGTGAATAGAGAGGTGTGGGAAAGAAGGAAAGTGTAGGCGCTGAAAAGGCCAACTATTAGGTGGATGGGAGAGTGCGCACTACAGACGAATCGTTTGCTAATATACTATGTTGTCTTCATCGATGCCCCTCACAGTAGGAAAAAGCCTATGACGTACGTGTATCAATATGTCAGGCTGTATCCAACGCAGGAACCACAGAGGGTCAACAGGAGAATGCCGAACTGAAATTTCGTTATTTATAGGTGATGAACGTAGGTGTTGAGATTGCCTACCGTGAACATTTTAGAAGATTCCGCAGGCGACGTGTTCGAAGCCCAGGTGTGCTGTGCAGTTAGGAAGCTATCGCGGAATATTTATAGGGTAAAACATGGGATCTGTTTTTGCAGCTGACCGAAGAGATATTAACAGTGCCAACGGGCATAACTGCCCTTTTCATTGGTTTTTTTTTGTGAACGCATGCAAGTACCGGATTGTCCCATACATTGGTTTTTCAAGCTAGACGCCAGTCTCCTATGAAGCATATATGAAGCTCACCCCACTGGCTTCGTTCTGGTACCCAAGGCCGTGTCCATAATTTTCGAGCGAGCAAACTGAAAATCTCATGGTGAACGACCGCTCTCCACCGCTAGTCGTTGGACCGCTTTAACTACTGATCAAATCGCGGTTGGTACAGAATTTCTTTCCACCATTGCAGTGGCTCAATGATCAGCGCTGGAGCGTGGTTACACGTCCGATTCGCTAGGCTATTCCTTTCATGGCTTTGTTTGCACGTAAGTTGCTAGCCCACGACACAGATGAGGCTAAAACTTCTTACGTGCTCCAAGGTCTCTCGCAGCAAATGGAAGCAAGGGGTGTGTGTGACATGTCTTCTACCGTGTAGAACACATCGGAGGGGTCGTGTTTGGCTGCAGGGGTGGTGCTATATTTGTCGCGATAGAAGTTTCTTGCGCGCGATAGAAGTTTCTTGCGGATCCCAATCTCTACCATTTACTTCTGCTGTTACTCATTCCTCGCTCTCGCGCTCAATCAAAAGAGAACTCAAAACTACTCGGAAATTTTTTTGAGATGGGCTGGTAGATTGGGAGTTAGAGGGGCACCAAGGTCTCGAGGCAGGAAGTTCAGCCCGGAGTTTGTATTTTCACACCAAATGATGTACCTCGAACGAAAGCGGTGTGATCAACTCGAGAAGTTGATGAAGAAGTTGTGGGAACCCGAACAGGGAACTCGGAAACACCTTATTTTCCGAAAGGCGGGAAGAACATTTTTGAAGCGCACTTAGGCTCATTGACGCATGATGCCTCTATGAGCAGCCTAGCTTCTTTTCCGCTGGTATAAGTAGTTACAAGTATTGAACCGTCTCGATGTAACTATTCACTCATCACCCCATATATATAATTCGCTTCGTCTGTTTGTTTGTTTGTTTGTAAGTTTGTTTGTAAGTTTGTTTGTCTGTCCGGAAATTCGGTTCGACCTGAAGAACGACTTGGAGAGGTCGGGTCAAGGTGGGGATGGGTAGGGCATGGGACATAAAAAGCACACTTGACCTATGGGAAGCCCCGCCCACAGTGGGCGGGGCACTCGCCGAAAGTTTGGGGTTCCGCAGAAAAATGTTCATAATTCGCTTCCGGAGCAGCTTAAAGATGGGGAAAAAGGGAATAAGGTTAGTAAGGAGTCGCCAGACTAACTGTGGCAGACACATCCAAAATGGGCGGGGCGTACTCAAGGTGGGCGGTGCTTCTCGCAAAATTCAGTAACCCGGTTCGCGAGAGTGTTTGGAAGTCGCAAAAAACTCAGTGTAGAATGTAAATATCTGGCGAATATAGGGCACGCTCAAAGTGTGTTGACCCGCCCACAGTGGGCGGAGCTTGCCCTAAATCGCAGGGTATTCATTTTAAAAGTTTGTAGCTCGGTTCCAGAACACTCCAGACACCGGAAAAAAGTGGATTAAGGTCAGCAGAGGGTCGCCGGTGAAGATTGTAGGGCACAAACATTGTGGGCGGGCCTGCTCCGAGGTGGGCGGAGTCAGACGAAAGAATCTGTAAAATAGCTCAAGAGTACTTCAGACACCGGAAAAAGTGGAGTACAGAACAAAAGGCGGATATCAGTTGAGTCTAGAAATATGTGAAAGAAAATACGCGCGGCGAAGCCGCGCTCGCCCGGCGCAGCCGGGCCGTATCAGAAGGAGGCGCGCCGGCGTTAGCCGGCGAGCCGACTGAATTAGGTGGTTCTGTGGCGCTTGTGAAAAGGGCCGTTCTTTCTGTGCCAAGCTTGTTTTTTTTCTTGAGGAGGATTCAACTCACCATCGCCCTTATTCACCGGGTCTTGCAGACTACCACATAATTGGTTTATTGGGCGATTTATTTTCGCAGCAAAACTTTTTTGTTCACAATGGATGCCCTTTAATGTAGCTAGACAAAGAAGTTCCTGTTTGATCATTTGAACTATGTGTGCACAACTGTTTGAGCCTCACTGAAGGTGATATGAGACCAGTGGTTCACGCCTGGTGTGTCTATCCCTACAGTATGCTGAAAAGTACATCACGTTCACAACTGAAGAGTGAAAACTGTCCTTATACGGGTAATCTGGTCTGTGTTCGTAGTGGTATGCTATCTTTCGTATAGTTGCGAATGACAAGGACGATAGCAGCGCACTCCGTTGTAGTGCAAGTCGCAACAAAGGGGTGAAGGAGAGGGGAGGGGGAGTTGTGTTCGTCAACACGGTGTCCATTTCCATATACTTAGCCTTGGCATGCCCTCACCGTGTCTTAGCAAATAGCAGCTCTTGGTCAACAAGGTTTTCTAGGCTCCTTGTCTTTTGCCGACCTGCTTCGACTTCACCTCTCTCCCAGGACTTCCTTGCACACAGTAGGATGAGCTCTGCTGCGTTGGTCCACGTCTCCTGGTCTGGTCTGTGTGGGTGTGGGCTTAGCCTCTGGTATTCTTTGACCGAGGCTACCCTTTTCCACGTACATTTCCACCGCCGATATCTCCGCTCGGTTCTTGCCCTCGTATTCTTGTAGAGGTCCATGGCGACTTCGATTCCCATTTGACTACCTCCACTGCTGTAGCATATATTCTGTGTCTTTATTTTCGCGAACATGGTGCTGCGCACCGCTAGATCGTGAGCTGTAGCTAGGTTGAGAAGCGTTCTCCCTGTGCATTCCTCGCTCCCAGCCTTCGGCTTCCGTGCACACTTTCTAAACGACTTCTGTGCTTAATGACATTCAGATGAACAGCTAGGCTGCGATAGTGATTTTTCGAAGTCGATTTTATGGTCTCGTCCAGGGTTAGGTAGCACTCCTTTCTCAAACAAGTTTATTGCGGTGCGTGTACGGTCACTATCGTCGAGTAGCCCTCCTTCTTATCTATTTTCGCTTTCATAGTTCGTTTACTGATCCCGTCCACAGAGGGGACGCAGTTCTTGAGGGCTCCTGCTACCGCTAAGGCCACACCATTCCGTTTGGTGTCTCCTTCATTGTAGAAGGTTTGACACCTTCTCCACTTGCCTTCGCTCCTTCCGAGCGCGTTTCCTAAAAGCGGCACTGAGATGCTTCCGCATCTCAATAGGTCGCTGATCCCTTGAGAGTTCTCTGTAAGCGATCCCACGTTCAGGTCCCAACTCGAACTAACTTCTTTGGCCGAAATTGTTCACCCCTCTGTAGCCTTCATGTACTGACAACAGGACTCGGGCGAGGGTTCTGCGAATTCCTTCCTGGTGATGTCTCAGCTTTAACCCTGTTGTCGTTGCGACTTTCACTTGTATTTTGTTGTGACAGGACCCCCTCCCCCATCAGCCTGCCTCAGCTGAAGCTGGTACCATTTTTGCAATTTTCGCAAGGCATTGGTTTGCGTCCCAGCAAAATTAAAATCGTGGCCCAGAGTTTAAAAACGAAGCCTGTCAACCAAGGGGTTGTCCCTGCCTATAGTGTAGTTCATTGCGGACGGTTGGGCGTGTTCGTGCGGCTGCGTTTGGCGCGGTGCCAAACTCGTTCTCCACGAGTTGTTCAAGCGAGCAAATGACAATACTGTATCATACCTTTCGTATTACTTGTTTTCTACTCTTATTGCTTTTTATCGCATGCCC